GCGCGCCCTGAGGGCCGGGTGCAAGGGGGGCCCCTGCCATTGTGGGGCGGGGGCGGGGACACTGGCAGGGATGGCCGGGCTTTAGCTCCGGGCCGTCTTTCCAAGGGAAGTAAGGTGGAAGCGTCGTCCCTTCCCGGAGCTCCGCTCAGACGTGTGGGGCCAGCAGCAAAGCCCTGAACGATGGGGGCAGGGGAGCAGCTTGAGCCGTTCGGCACCACCACGTGGCTGGAGGGTGCACGCCAGGCTGAGGCAGCAGGCCCCTTCGGCCCATTTCTTACCTAGCTTCAAGCTCACCAGACAGGCCCTGCCTGGTCTGACCTTGCAAGACTCGAACCCCGACGGCCTCTTCTCCTGACCAGGGCCTCAGTGCTCCAGGAACTGATGCCCCCTCCTTGCCCCATTGCCTGCCCCACGGCATCAGACTTCCTTTCATGCACCTTCCCATGCACCTGGAAGGGCCCTACATACAGAACCAGCCCTCACACCCCAGCCCTATGGGCCGGGCCTCTTGACAGGAGGAACGTATCTGAGACCATATGGAAAAGTTATTTACTTGTTCCCATAACACAAGAACTAGGGGTCACCAAATGAAATTAATAGGTAGCAGGTTTAAAACAAACCAAGGGCAGTATTTCTTCCCACAACACAACCTGTGGAACTCCTTGCCAGATGATCTTGTGAAGGCCAGGAATTTAACAGGGTTCAAAAAAGAACTAGATAAATTCATGGAGGATTGGTCTATCAATACTTATGAACCAGAATGGATAAGAATGGTGGCTCTAGCCTCTGTTTGTCAGGATCTGGAAACGGACGACAGGAGAGGGATCACGTGATGATTACTTGCTCTGTTCGCTTTCTCTGGGGCATCTGGCATTGGCCCTGTTGGAGGACAGGATTCTGGGCTAGATGGACCTTTGGTCTGACCCAGTCTGGCCGTTCTTATGTACCCCAGCATGCCCACTCTGTCTTTTCAACCCCCCAGGTCCCCTGTCGAGTTGCTCTGAAAGCATGGAACAAAGGGACCCAGCTCTAAAGCCAGTGCCGGACAGAGAGAGGGTGAGGCTGGCAGCTCGCAGTACCTGCTGTAAGGTAACCATCGCAGCTGTACTCGTGGGTGGCTTTGCTCTTCTTTCCCTGGGCATTCTAATGGGTAAGTTGGCAGCTGGATCCTCTCTTACTGTCTATACGCTACTAGCAGGCTAGGCAGCTGGTGCCCCTGTTCCAGGCCTGTCCCCCTCTGGCCAGTGAACCTCCAAAGACAGGACATTTGGATACTCAGCCGGGAGTTAGATGCTTCCCTGGAGATCTGGATGGGAGACAGCGCCGTGTTTCTCCACAGCAACGCCCCGCCCCACTGAGCACCCAGCCAGCCCTCTCTGGCCGGGGATGGCTGTCATCACAGGGGAGCAGGGAGACAGGGGGAGTCTTCTGGTGAGGACACAAAACAGCGCGGCCCCCTCCCGCCCCACTAGGAGTTGGGGTGGCTTCCTCTCAATCCTTTTCCTTTCCGTGTCTCCGCTCTACCGCCAAGGTCCTGCACAGCCTCTGCCCCTCTCTCCTTCCCTCCTCTTCCTTCTCCCCTGGGGGCCTTTCCCAAGATGGGCTCTTGGCTCTCCTTTCCATCTGCCCTGGACACACCGTCTTCTAGATGCAGCCCCTTCCTCCCGGGGCCCCCTCCCTTTGGCGGCTGGCCCCTCCCCGCCCACCTCTGCATCCCAAAGCTGCCACAAAACCACAGCCACTGCACGGCCTCCCATGCGAATTCCCTGGCTGGGAGGGGTGGGAGGCTGTCACACGCAGGAGGGCAGCTGGTCCCTGCAGGATGGCTTGCTGTACTGGGAGCAGCTGGGAGGTCACTGCCTATTTCCTGCCTCTGTGGGAAACGAAAAGCCGCTGTAGAGCAATGAGACCGGCCCCCTCGGGACCACTTCTTGGCCTCTCCTTCTACTCCCTGATTGTCCCAGTAGCAATTCCAGAGGCTAAGCACAGTCCGGTTGGCTGAGAGCCCGTCGTGCGACTATGGCTGGGATTACTAAGAGTATCCTTGAGGCTGCATTGTGGCTGGGCCCTGCGCTGCCCTGAACCAAACACCGCCCTTGTGACAGCTCCGTCAGCTAACGAGCCAGGGCGACGTTCCACCTGACTCCCAGGGGACTCCCAGGGCTGGCATTTTGCGCCTCCTGTCTGCACGAGCTTCCGAGAGGCTCCTGGAAGACCAGGGGAGGTGGGTGCTGCAGGGAGAGCCCCAAAGCCCTGGAGGCACCAGGAAGGACAGAGAATCCTGGGATTAAGCGGGTGGTTTCCAAAGCCAAGACGCTGGCCCAGCCTGAGCCATTGTCAGCTTCCCAGTGCCCCTTGTCTGCTTGTGGAACACTCGCCCTCTGCCCGCAGCGCGCGGCTCCGCACAGGGGCTCAGCTTCGAGCACACGGCGGAGCTGCGAGGGATCGCGTATGACCGCAGCTTGCAACGGAGGAACTCGGATTACTCCCAGACGCTGACCCCCGCTCTGGAAAGGCTGGTAAGTTGGATTCTTCACCTGTGGGCTAAGCCCTCTGCTTGCAGCGACCATATGAGCTGCCTGTGCCTTGCACAGCCGGGGCCCCAGCTCAGCAAGAAGCGCCCCTTGGATCTACATCACCCCGCACTAGCTCCTGTGCTGGCTTAGAGACACCTGCAGCCCCACCCTGATTTCCTCTGCCCAGAGGATGCAATGGCCATGGCATAGAGTCATGGAATCTTAGAGGTAAAAATGGTGCCAGCAGTGGGATGTTCTGAAATTGGCCAGGGGGCCCAGAGAGCCCCGCTCCTAGATCTGTCTGAGGTGACCCAGTGAGTGACAGAGACAGAGGAATTCATACAGCAGAGATGCTTGTGAAAACCACATGCTCTGGGAAATGCCCTAGGGCTGCAGAAGTGAAACTGCTACAGCCTCAGGCGAGCAGGCAACCTCCTGGGCCACATCGGCAACACGCCTAGCAAGTGGGAAAGGGCTGGTGGGGCGGACCCTACAGACCTCCTGATATTGGGGCATGGGGTGTCCTGACCCAGCTGGAACATTTCTGGGCTCCTGCCCTGCAGCGCAGACCTCGGGGAGGCGGGTGAGCCTGCCGGAGGAATGGGGAAAGCCGAATTGCACAGCTCGGCGGGAAATGGCCCAGAAAAAAGCAGTGGGAGGAGGATGGGAGCGGAACTCACCACTCAAAGCCAAGGACACATGGCTAGAAGCCCACTAAGGCCAGGCCAGCTTTGGGGGACGGGAGGTGGTGGGCCAGGGCACACACCCATTACCCATGCTGCATGCCATGGGCAGAGGCCACCCCACAGTGGGGGGGCAGTGAGGCCAACATTGAGAGAATGGCACTGCAAGCCCCACGCACCAGGGGTCACAGCGCTGCTGGTGGCGGGAGGGACGCTGCCCAGTAATGGGCCAGGCTAGGAGGCAGGAGACGCAGGGGCTGTGGGGATCTCTACAGGGGCTGACAGTGGGACCCAGAGCAAATGTCTGGGGCAGCACCCAGCTGGCTGTGCTTCAGGACTCAGGCGCTGGCCTCGAACTTAGACCCTGCTCCAGCATAGCTCCCCGAAGGGCTCCCCGGGACGTTCTGAAACCTGAGCCAGCCGGTCACTCGTCTTCCCCTTGCAGTTTCTTACCAGCTTCCGAGGCTCGCCGCTGGAAGGGAGCTGCCTCGGCTGTGCCATCCTGGAGTACAGGTGAGAGCCTGCTGCTCTCTTGCCTCCTGCACCCAGCTCCGGAGTGCTGTGGCTCCGGCCGTCGCTATCCTGCCGTGCGGGGCGTGGGGGAGGGAAATGGCTGGGGGGTTTTGGTCCGAAAGTGGCCTTTTGCCCAGGCTGCAAATTCCTTTCCCTTTCTCTCTTGCTCAGAAACTGTTGGTGTTTTTAAGCCTTATGAAAAGGTCACTAAATGGTGATTTATTTATTTTTTTTTTGTTGGACAAAATCATCCTTGGTTTTGACAAAATAAATCAGTGTCTTTTTTTGTCGGGGGGCGAGGTCACTCAGAGGTTTGAGCACTGGCCGGCAAAGCCCCCAGGCTTGTGAGTTCAGTCCTTGCGGGGCCATTTAGGGATCCGGGGCAGATCTGTCAGGGTGGTGCCTGGTCCTGCCGTGAGGGCCGGGGCCTGGACTTGATGACTGCGCGAGGCCCCTCCCAGCTCTAGGAGATGGTCTGTCTCCATAGTTTAGTTAATCACCTGGGTCCAACTTTCACATTTCTGAGAAACATTTTAATGAACCTTTCTACAGCCAAACACAGACCCACTTTGCACCCTCTGGCCGGAACTGGCATGGCAGCCCGACGTGTCCTCACTGAGCAATGGGTCGGCACCTCCCCCAGGCCCCGCCAGGAGCGCTGCGCTGGGGGCCGGGGCTGGCTGGAGGGAGGGCAGGCCTGTGAGC